GCGGTGTTGACTGTTTTTCCTTCTTTAGGGGTGGGACACTTACATAGGTGGACAGTAAGGTCTTACATCGGCCTAGGCTATCCCCCTAATAGGGTGCTGCCTTGCGCGCACGGGGTGCAGCCTTAGGCGCACTGGATGATCAGGCCAGACTACCGAGGTACGCGTGGAGGGGAGAAACAGCGAAAGCGGCTATTCTACCAGTTGGTGGACGAGGTCCGTGGTATTTTCCGCCGCTTGTTTCCCGGAGCCACCTGGGTGCGCATCGAATTTGCGAGCAGCACTCAGGCGCTACCGTCAGACCTCGAGAGCATCGTCGCCAACCCGCACGACGCGCTCAACCCGGCCTGGCAGTCCAGAGCAGCGTTCTCGCCTACATTGCGAAGGTTTATTCCAGCCGGCGCACCGCAGGGTGCAGCCCAGCCTCCACAACAGGCAACCGAAGAAGAAGCCGAGGAGGATCAGCCTGCGAACGAGCCTGGACAAGCATCTGGTGAGCGCTGCAGCCGGAAGCGCCTGAAGAAGGAGATCCACCTGGTATTGCTGAGGCAGAGCCCGAGTCAGCTGCTGCCGGCGAGGCGGCAACTGACCCGGAGCTCGAACATCCGCCCGCTGGCGACGCAGAACCGGACTTGGCCGACGTAGGCGCTGAAGACGGAGATCTGGATATCGCGCCGGCTGAAGAAGTTGTTTTAGCAGCAGCGGCCGAAGGTATCGTATTGGAGGAGGGTGCTGCCTTGGGCGCACCGGGAGTTGGAAACGCGCAAGAGGAAGAAGCTCTGGAGCAAGCCGAGTTTGTGGAAGTCGAAGTGGATAGCGACATGCTATCAATTTACGAACCGCTTCCGCCTTATGATCACGAAGACTTGTCAGCTGAGCCTTCCTCCAGCGTTGCGGCGCCAGCCGTCCACGCACCTGCCCCTGTAGGTCGTGGTTCCCTTAGCTCCCGGACTCCTCTAGTACTTGGGCCTGGGCAACCGGCACCAGTAATCGATAGGAAGGCGCCTGGGCTAGAAAAGGGGTCCCTTACCACAACCCGAACCCGTGCATCCCCCTGCTCCTCTGCCTACCCTAAGTTTCCGGACGAGGCAGCTGACCCTCACGAGCTCCCTGACAGCGCCTGACTCGACCCAGCAAACTTTGCCCGCGCACACGGTGCATCTGGCATTCAGCTTGGGGTCCCGCAATACACGCTGGAAGCTGCGCCCGAGGGTGCAGCCTCCGGCGCACCGGGCAGCAGACGCAGGGCGGCATCGGCTAGAGCCGCAGAGTGTTCATAGAAGAGGTAGAGCCAGAGATCCCTAAGCAACCGGCAAAAGCGAAGACAGCGCCACCTAGAATTAAGACGTCCTCAGCTAAGGCCTCTGCTCCTGCTCCTCCTCCAAGGCCCACGTTGCACGTGCCAAGGGCACCATCACAATTAGTTCCCCCAGCCTCCGTGGCCACTGCGCCTGCACGCCCGCTTGGTCAGTCAGTGCACTCTCTGTAATGCCACCGAGACCTGCGGCCACTTTTACGCTCTGCGTCTGCCCTACCCCGTGCATCCCCTAACCCTAACACCCGTGCATCATCGACCCACGCTAGGGCCCGCTCATCATCACCTTTGCTGGAAGAGCGTGGCGACGACATAGGGTTTAGGGGTTCTCGGTTTGAACCAGAAATTGCAGGCGCCGAGGCGGAGGAGAGTCCACCACCAGCCCCGGAAGGACTGCTCAGGCCAAGTCAGGGCGCTGCGCCTGGCGCGCCGGGAGCATGGCCCACCTCCTCCTTTGCCTGTGGATCCCAATCCGCCAACAGACCCAAGGTTTCCTAGAAAGGCACCTCCTAATCTTGTTAAGTACAAAGGCCCGCCGCACGGTGCTTTTGTTAGGGGTATTAGGAGCCGCTCACCTCAAGGTGACAGACCTGCTCGCAACAAGCCTAAGCCTCTGACCCTTGTACATCCGCAACGCAGGGCACGCAATTCATACCACGATTGGGCAAAAGGCGAAGGCCGAGGCTCTGCATCGTCTGCGGGTGCTGCCTCTGGCGCACCGAGGCCGCCTCCTCAGGTCCTTCCCCGGACTCCACCGTCCGAACGCGTCCAAATCAACATCGTGCTTGATTGGCATAAGTGCCTTGATAGGGGTTGGGGTTACACTAGGAAACGGTTTACGAATAGGACGGCTTTGGCAATCAACAGCTTGTGCGCTGCTCTCCGTCCTTGCACGATCAACATACTGTCCTACGCCCAAAAGAACGCCAACCTCTACCTGCGCAGAGACTTAATCCCTGCCCAAAGGCAAATTGAGGCTCTGCCTTCGAGGCCTGCCTTCGTGCGTGTGGCACAGGTAAGTGCCAGAGTCGGCCCAAACGGCAAAGGACGTCAGCTCCACTTCGTCCAAGCCCACTTTTTCGTCGACGACAAGCCTCAGATTGTAAACGAGTGCCGAAGAACCGGGTGCGTCTGCATCCGTGCCTACCTGGCAGCAGGTGAGCAAGGTTTGATCTGGAAATCCAGCAACACGTCGATCAGGTTGGCTGTAGTGCACTGCGCTCCGCGCGGCGCCTGCTGGACAGCGAACTCTCTTACAAGCGCTAGGTCTTTATCTCTGCGGCGCCGAAGGGTGCTGCCCTAGGCGCACCAGCCCGGTGCTCTAGGTATAAGGTTTAACCCCAGCTTAGTCAACCACACCCGTGCCACCACTCACCTGCGTTCTTTCCCGGTGCTCTGCAATCACAAACCCACAGGTTCAGGGCACAGGCTTCACTTTTGCAGCGGTCAACCGCTAGCCGTCAACTTCCCTTGCGCAGCGCCCTAGGGTGCTGCCGCC